AAAACAATTGTAGTATAATATAATTCTTGTATAAGTATTACATTTATATACAGTTGTTACATTTCAATTACAAGCAAAGTATAATTATAATTTTGAATTGTAATTAAAATTAAGTACATTATTATATTACATTTGCTATTATTAATTACATTTGTTGCGACTTTTTTGTGATGATAGTAATGGCACACCATTCAACACTGTTACCCCAAGCAATGTGCTAAGCAATGTCTAAAAAACAGGAGAAACAAGTCAAGCACTTTAAATATGAAGTGAAAGCTATATATGATAAAAAGACCTTTGAGAAAGAGGTCACAATAAAGGGCCAAGGCTGAAATAGACAAAGAAAAGAAGAGGCAAAATGTTGGGTTCTGTTTCCCAATAGTAAAGGATGAAGATGAGGATATTCAGATGGTACTCAAGCTTTCGAATAGTCCTGAGGTAAGTAAGCATGTCTAGTAGCAGATCTATATACTAAACTTCGGATACCATTCTGATCCATTCTTGCTGTAATACTTGTAGGAAATACATTACTCATTTGCTAGAGTTGATGAACCTGATGTTGAGATGAAGGGCAAAGGCGGCGAAACTTCTACAACAGGTACAATAAAGCGACCACATACAGAAGGCAAGGTAAGAAAACAAAGGGACATAACAACAGATGACTGTACAATTGATATAATGTGTAAGCTCTTGAACTCAGAGGATTGTAGCTGCTTTAGAGTTGGAACATCAGATCACATTGCTCCAGGTGGCTATGTGTGAGAGCCCCTCCAGCTTGAAATTGTATACATAATTGATGTAAAAGATAAAATTTGGAATCATTGATTTATTAAATTTCAATATGATTGAATGAAGGCCATTAAAAATGTTTAGCTGAAATTGTCATTCCTGTCAGATGCCACTGTGATTGAGAGACAATATTAATCAGTACCCAAGGAACAATATAGAGCACACTTTGTCTGTAGTTTACTCCAAGGCTTCTTGCAGAAGAGAATTAACCATTCCATAGGTAGTGGACTGTTAATCTACCTGCATTGCTCTGCACGACAAGCTTATCATGACAAACGCAAAGAAATTGGAGTCTCATCATCTGAGAATATATATCAACAGTCAACACAAGAACTCAACTTTGTAACCATTTGTTCACCAAGCCGTTTCATCATATAAGACACCTACAGCTAAAGAATTAAGAGATATTCTTATGAATCAGTAGAAGTTGCACATACTATCGGGCTCGTCGTATCGAATTTCTCATTTGAACGGTCTATTGAGGGGAAAACAGCATCTTCACAAGATTAAGTCTGAACTTGTCACAAAATTCACGGCCATACAACGCCCGATAGAGAGTACTTGGTGGGTGTGGAAGTGTGTGAATTCCCGTGCACATCCTAGTTGCAGACCAAGGGCATCGAGCGAGGAGAGTGACATTTCAGAAGAAGCAGCAGCGGAAACTTTGCCTCCCGTGGATGGTAAATCCTACCAGCCGCATCCTCTACTATGTTAATCCGTCGGAAGCCAATGTTGTCTGGAAGTGGTAACGAAATTCTGGTGTACGGCCAGTATTGCTCGAACAACGTCGATACCATGGATGAAATGAATATTCCCCTGCATTATAGCATGCATCAATTTAAAGGCCGATATATAGCCTTGTCAAAGTAGCCTGCATTTTTTAACTACGAGCTACCTTCTCTTGGCTTGAAGCCACACATCGAACGTAATTTCGAGGGTGTCTTCGACCTCCCCGTAGGCCAGTCGGGTCCAGTACAGTTGTGGGAGTCGTCGAAGTGCAAACAGTTCAGACTCTGCACGAGCTGTCATTTAATGCACTGAACGGACTGCTCTGGTTACACCAGATTGGACGTCCGATATCTCTGAGGGTCTGGTCACCCGAGTTTCGACCAAGTGCACAGTGAAGTATCTTCATGCTCGAAAGTCCTCGCATTCCATATTCCAGTTGAACTGAGTTGCATGAATGCGGCTTTGGATTCAAGATATGTATCTCTCTACAGCTTTACCAAGAGTTTCGATCCACAGCTTTATCAATTGGGAATGTTATGAGAGCAGTCTATGCATTGGCCAGAGTTTGGAATGATGTCCGACCCTCGGAGTCCGGGTCGAAATCGAATTTGATTGTCTCATGTCCAGGGCGTGTACGTCAATCACGAGTCAGTGGCGGCATTTGTTACATTGCTTTCAGCGAGAGAAGAGAGAGATAAGAAAGTCAGAGGTCCAGCCTGCACCGTGTATCAAGATTAACGCTGTGATCTTCATTGCCTCTTTTGTATGATCTTCGTAGCGACATATCACTCGCTCGAGTGGCACAACTTGCATCTCTATTCCCTAAAAACCCCTTCGCGGCAAGTGAAACTCAGTCAGCATACTAGTATATCCTTCCTGGAGTCTTCTCATCTTTTATGCATCTATATTATCTTCCATCAGGTATCGCAATAACGAAACGAAACAAGTTCGTTTATCGTATTCAAAAATCGTGCACGTTTTGGCCGAAGCACCCGGCCTCCGCCGACTGTGCGATACTGTTGATTGATGGATATGATGATACGAGCCAGCAGATTTCATCGGGGTCCTGAATTCAAGATGCCAGCCTTGACTTTCCGCATCCGAACCCTGAGTCTCACGGCTCTTTTTGGGACGACCCTGACTAGCCACTTACATAATACTTGTATGCTGGTTCACAGACCAAGAAGTTAGGAGGGGGGTTTGGGGGGCAGAGCCCCCCCAATTAGGTTTAGGTTCAGTTTAGGTTGTTAAGTTTAGGTGTTGAGTTGGGTGTTAGTTAGGCTTGGGGGAGGGGAATATATATTTTCTTAGGGAAATGACTTTATTTTGACTTAGTGAAATTCAAGTCGATTTGTGAGTGGCCAGTTGGAGCTAACCTAAAAAGAGCCGTGGGACTCAGGGTTCGGATGCGGAAACGACGCGACTGCAAGATGCTGAGATGATTGATGGTGATTCCAGTTTGTTTCAAATCATGACTGCGGTGACTGTGTTTTTGTTCTATTCTGATGCTTATACTTACGGAGTCGCACGGACAATCGTAGCGTGATGGAGTGTGTGGCGGGCTAGGGTGGCCGTCTGTCTCTGTCCTTGACGGAAGCGTGCTCCTGAGACTTATACTTTGGGCTGCTGGTCGGACTTCCGTGTCTGTGCTACTTGGTGTTGATTCCGTCGCTGCTGGGCTATTGCTGGGATCCCTACTACGGCCCTGATCCTCCTGCGAAGCTACTAACCTACATCAGATAATACGTATTCATCTATTCTGAATACCGACAGAATGGACTACGCACTCACAGCTCTCGACGCGGCGAAGTACATACATGGTCTCATTGAGAAGGTACGGACGTTCACGAAATGCCTAGCCAAGATCTCAAATAGCTTTTAATTTCAATTTACCAGCATTCAAAAAACAGGAAGACGCTTATGGATGTTTCGCTCCGCTTAGTAGATGACATACAGCGCCTTGAAGACATTCGAGAATCATGCGGGATAAGTGACTCGATACCGGAGCTGGACGAGGAGATAGCTGCTTATCAGAAGTATGGTCTCTAGTTTTAACCAGAAAACTTACATAGCTGAGATTACTATAGTGATCTAAACGAGCTCTTAGACGATTGTCAGAAACTATTTTGAAGAGAAACCGGGATTCGGCAGAAAGGTAAAACACTTCTACAGGACGAGGATAAACGTTGGAGATATTGAAGAAAAACTCATCAAATTTGAGAAGAGGGCAGACCTCGCGCAGAGGCGATTTGAGGTACGTTTTATCGGCGTTCATGTGTAACGTGAAGTGAGACAGACGTGGGTCTGAGAAATTAATAGAACAAGAACCAAATCAACATGCGTGTAGAGCTTAGACATATCCATGCAAGGCTCATGAGTCCTGCAGCTGAACTCGAAAGGTCACTGGGTAATCAAATGGCTGATCAACAAGAGTGGCAGGAGCTGGATCAGGACGAGGTGCAAATACAAGTACGGAGGGAAGATGACGATGGCAATGATACTGATTCGCAAGAAGATTCGGAGGGCGGATCTGCCAAGGATTTGGACAGGCTAAATGGTGAATCTAGACAACGTGAGGAGGAAAGGTGGAAATGGAAGCAAGATAAACCCTCGGTAATTTCCTCATTATTTTAGCATAAATGCGTCTGACTGCGTATTTCTAGGAGAACGAACCGGACGAAGAAGGCTCAGAGGAGATGGTGCTTCTTATACCAGACGTTTCCAAGATCTCCCTCAACGATGAAACTCTTAGCATGGGCTCAGTACGTGAAACAAAATCTAGCATACCTTCCAATGACCGATTGCATACCCTCAGGAGAATGGCTCAACTGAAACACGTAGTCGTACGCCAGACGTCTTCAGCATCTCTCCTAGAGAAAATCCACAAGATGAAACATGGGTAAATGACACGTTCTTTTGCGAGACACATAAGGCCCTGCTCGGTTGCACTGGTCGCGCGACCAGTGCCTGCCAAATTCGCGACCACCGGTTACACAACCAGCGGTTGCAAACCATCAACCATCAGACGTGCTCGGCTGCACGTCTGGTTTCGTAGTTGTGTGACACTGCTCGTCCCTTACTACATCTGTTACACTATGTCCTCTACATTTCCTTGTTACTACTTCTCTCTTGTATTGTATTCCCCACTTGTATTCTACTGGAAATTTAATAATCCAAGCTTTGAATGTCCAAACCAACTATAATAATATAATACATCTGTCATATATGCCTAATTATATGTGCATATATGCACCTAAAGTCCTAACTTATGTTTCTATTTATTTATTTGTGTCTCAATTATATCTACACTGTATAGTACTTATGTTAGGACACATAATTATATACTAATTTGAAAGGATAAATGATGAAAGATGAAGGGAAAGTAATGAGTCTATACACTATACTACTTGTGACCAAAGTGACAAGGTTGGCACTGGTGGTTGACGGCTGCACCGGAAATTGCCGGCCATCAACCACCAACCTGCAGTTGTGCGACCAGTGCAACGAAGCAGGGCCTAATATCTAATCACGCATGACCTCAGGAGAATGATTCTGATGAAGACGGCAGTTCAGTTATCCCGCAGCACACCATACCCGACGACGAGTCTAAAGTACATGAAGTGCGTATGAGGGTGTCTTCAGAGCGTATAGAAGAATCCAAGAGGGGGAAAAACTCGAACGCAAAAGTACACCCAAGGAGAATGACTATGACTAAGAATGAAGCAGTACAGGAGACCCGGAAGCTGCTCAACGATATCCGCGATCCAGACTCGTGTACCCCAGTAACATCGTGGATCTCAAAGGCAAACAATTTGTCGGTTATTCTCGAGCAGAACTTAGACATGCTTTCTGAGGCGTTGCAGCTTTCTGAGATGTGTGTCTCACTCTCTCATCAACTGTCGGATGAATACCCCACAGCGTTTAGACCGTTATTAGCCTCAAATTTACGCAATCTGGCAAAACGATTATGGAAGAACAGACAATCGGGCCAAGCCTTAGAGCACTCGGGAAAAGCTGTTTCACTCTACAGACAACTCGTAGAGGAGGACCCAGAGGCACATAATCCGGAACTCGCAGCAGCGCTGATGACGTATGCCATCGATTTATCCGAAGTTCGTCGACACGATGAAGCTCTTGAACCAATGGAAGAAGCTGTCGAAATTCGGAGAGTGTTGGTGGAGCACAATCCCGCAGAATACACATTCGACCTCGCAGAATTGCTTAAGAATTATTCTATTTTGCTGGTGAAGCTTGGTAGGATCCAAGATGCCTTAGTTGTACGTCGGGAGGTTGTTGAAATCCAAGAGGAGCTTGCGGAACAGGATCCGAAGAAGTATAACCCCTACCTAGCATCAGCACTCAAACTCCTTTCTTCGATCTTGTCGGGCATCCACGAGTATCAGGAGGCACTTGAAGTTCAAGTTCGCCATGCTCAAGTAAGGCGTGAGATCTCAGAAAAAGATCTGGAGAAACATGCAGCGGATATAATAAGACAGCTGTTTACGTATTCTTTCAAGCTTGCTGATCGAAAGCACCGTGAGGAAGCACTAGAGGCTGCTGAAAAGGCCGTCGAGCTCGCCGCGTGGCTTGCGAAAGACGATGTCCACAATACTAGGCATGTCCAAAATGATAACGATGTGGATGATAATAATGACGAACTTGAGGATGACGAGGATGATGGTGATGGTGAGGATGACGAGGTAAGCGACGGGAGCGATGACAGTGAACCCGATCCGCATACCTCCCTCCTAGCAGAAGCTTTCACTGTACTGAGCGACAGATTGTACGAGATCAAGCGTGACAAGCCCGCTTTGAAAGCAATTTTACGAGCTGGGGTCCTTTGGGAGACACTCAGAAGGCACGACCCCGACTCCGGCAAATATAAATTCAATTTCGCAAGGTCTCTAGATAAGCTTTCGCAGAGGTGGTCAGTACTTAACTTGCATAAAAAGGCACTCAAAGCGGCGAATCGTGCTGTCCAGCAATGGGAAGATCTTGTCGTGTCGAATGACAGACATTTACCCCATTTGGGAGAGCGTACGAAATGCTCTCATTACGGTTCTCCAAAGTCTGCCAACACAGAGACGCTCTCGATGCTATCAAAAGTTCTATCGAAATATTCAGGGAACTTGTAGAACGGAATGCACGTTTACATGAGCCCGGTCTAGCACAGTCGTTAGTCACTCAATCTATCGCATTCGCAAAGGCGGGGCGTCGGAAGGAAGCGCCAACACCAGTAGAGGAGGCCGTGGATATGTACAGGCGGCTTGCGGAAAATAATCCGAAGGTCTACAAAAGAAAGCTCGCTTACTCCTTGCACGAATATGCTGGACGACTTTCGGCGGTGGGCCAGAAGGGACAGGCTCTCGAGATCGTCACAGAGGCCGTAGATATCTATAAGCAACTCGCGAAGGACAATCCGGACACGTACAAAATGAATATTTCCAAATCAACGGACCTCCGTATCAAACTAAAAGCGGACCTAGTAAAGCCAAGGCTGGATTAAAGCGCGAACTGTCGTCTGATGTGATTAATTGTGCAATCCATGTCCTGCAGTATTCCCTCGCATCCAGCGGCGAGCAGTAACCCGCCAGTCCCTTGGCAGAATATTTTGTCACAGACTTCTGTTCGGGCTAGGGATTATGAAGTTGATTTTAGCAGGGAGGTAACCGAGGTTAAGAAAATCGTCATGCTCAACCTTTGTCTCTTTGTCGTGGCTACTTTCCTTCTTATGGACAGTGCAGAAATTCCTGCAATGCTGACAAGTTCGTTCTAGTCGTGTTTTTCGTTTGCGAACAGAAGCAACAATTTAACGTGTAACCAGGGTAACTATATCAGCATACTCCTTCGGAATTTGCCTTTATCCTCTAGTACCAGTGTGCATATCGTTGAGTTTGCACTAAGTTCTACTTCTTGCACTTGACAGGGATCCCCAATTATCACAGCACTCCTTTAATTAGCTACCTATTTTGCTATGCACGAAATGAACACGGTCATGACGAACCACATCAACTGATGAGGTCGCATAATATGAACGCAGACCGAGACACTTGACAACCGCAAAATAATACAAGAAGCACCTTCGACATTGGATGATGGAAAGTTGTCGGTGGATGAGTGTACTATTAAGACAGCAGCATTACTTAATCGACTATACTATTACAATCGCAAAGTAAGTCCTTTAGTTAAAGAGCTAATGCCTGACAGTTCAAAATTGCTATCCTGAACGGTCTGTGATATCATGTCTGAAATGCAAAAACAAGTCAGACACTTCAAGTATTATGTAAAGGTTAAGTACGGTACCAAAGAATTTAAGAAAGAAGTTGTAATAAGGGCTGAAATAGATAAGGATAAGAGAAAAAATGTTGGGTTTTGTCTCCCAGTGGTAACGGGCGAAGATGAAGTTATCCAGCTGAGACTTAATCTTTCAAATAATCATGATCAATAGCAGTGTATACAGTATACTTATTCTTGGACACTGTTCTGATATAATGCTATGACACTCATAGGAGATAGATTACTCTTTTGATAGAGCTGATAAACATGATATTAAGATAAAAAACGTAGATGGCACTTCTACAACAGGCAAGATAGAGCTACCGCGTACGGAAGACAGGTCATCAAGAAGAATAGATGTGACGACGGAACCCCGTGTAATTGCTATAAACTGTAGGCTCTTAGGTTTTGAGGGCTGTAGTTGCCATGGAATTGGAACATCATATCACATTGTGCCAGAGAATACGTAGTAGTTCCTCCAGCTTGAAATGTGCATATTTGTTGTAATAGATAATTTCTGGAATCATTAATCCGATTTCATTTCAATACAACCGAATGAAGAGCGTTAGCCGCGTTTCCACAGAAGCGTCCTTCTTGTCAAATGTAGTTGTAATAACATGACTGCAAAGAATTCAAGGAACAGTATAGAAAGCGTTTATTTTTATAAATCTATCCCTGTGACAAGTACTTTACGTATCATCTCCCTATGCGTCCTTGCAAGAAACAGACAAAAACATGCGGAGACTCACAGACTATGAGTACATATGAGCAATTAGCACGCGAACTCAGCTTTCTATGGCTATTCGTTCACAAGCCCCCTCGCAGTACAAGATATCTGCATTTGAAGGGCCATGAGATGATCTTCTGGTCCTAGATGAATAGAAGTTGTACATACTATCAAGATCATAATCGATTTTTTACATGGATGGCCTATCAAGGAGACAATAGCGTCTTGATTGGGCTAAGCCCGAATGTATCCCAGAATTCACGGCTGTCTAATGCCCGATCGAAAGAACTTGGTGGACGTGGAAGTGCGTGTATGCCTGCCTCAGCCATCAATTCCCTTACCCATCCTGGTTGCGGTCCAAGAACTTCGGGAGAGGACAATGCCACCTCAGACAAGGTGCCTGTGGATCCTTCACCCCATGCGGACGCTAAGTCCCACCAGTCATAAACTCTGCAATCTGTCAGAAGCCAACGTTGTCCGGATGCGGCAGCGAAATTCTGGTGCACAGCAAGTACTGCTCGAGCAACATCGATGCCATGGATGAGATGGATGTTTCTCTGAAAATATAGCATGTATCAATTCTATGATCAATATTTAGCTTCGCTAAAGTAGCCTACCTTTCGGGATAGATCCTCTTTGCTAGACGCTACGCGTCGAACCCAGTTTCTAGGGCTCCTCTGACCTCCCCAAAGACCACTCAAGTCCAGCACAGTTGTTGGAGTAGTCGGAGCAAGTGCTAACAGTTCAGACTCTGCACGAGCCCGATCGTTCGATGTATTGAATGGACTGTGTCTGTCGCACCAGATCGGACGTCCGGTACCTCTGAGCGTTTGGTCACCCTACCTCCATCTGAGTAAACAATGAAAATATCTATATTGAAAGGACCTACGTTCCATATTCCGGTTGAACCAAGTTGAATAAATGCGGATTTGGATTTGGGGTGTGTTTCTTTCCATAGTTTCACTAAAAGTCTCGATACTCCGCTTTTATAAATTGGGAACGTTATGAGAACGGTCTGAGCATCAGGGAGACTTTGGAATGATGTCGGATCCTCCGAGTCTGGGTCGAAATCAAATTTGATTGTTTCATACCCAGAGCGTGTACGTCCATCACGAGTAGTGGCAGCATATTCTACATTGTTTTGAATAAGAAGAGGGATGAGAAAGTCGGAGGACCAGCCTGCACCGAGTATTAAGAGGACAACGTTGTTCATGGGGAAAGGCAGCGTGTCGATCATATGGTGTCCTAATTTGGTTTAGTTCTTCTTCTTATAGACTGAGGTGTTGCACACGTGACTTACTCTCTCTTGTTCTCTAACCTCGACCTACTCTGTCCTCTACTGTGGCTCAACGGATATCTATTGGGTTCTAAAAGAGCTTGAAATCGGATAATATCCATTAGTCTAATCATGGATGACTCTGTGCAGACTGAGACGAAGCCAGACATTGACGTGAAAGATGAGGAAGAGACCCAACCAGACCCAGACGAGATCATGGATATGACGAACGGGAACGGGCGGGCATGGTGTGTAAAGGTGCCAAAGTATCTGATGGAAAAATGGAGCTCCATCTCGGAAGATAATGTTCACCTTGCAACATTGCGAGCTTATGGTCCCGATCCACGCACGGGAAAATCACGCTTCGCACTGTTCGTGCCAATCAACCCGCCTGATCCCTCAGATCCAAAAGCAAAGGAGGCACCTTCTCTTGAACCTGGAACGTATGAAGAATATGACCTAGACATGGTCAACGAATCCGTTGAGAACCAGATTGTCGTTGCTGAGTCAACACCTACTCAAGGCTCGCGTGTGCGTTCTACGATTCTGACTGGTCGTGTGAAGCACGAATGTAGTTTGCGACCAAAGTTGACGGATGCATATCGGCGACGAGTTCGAATGAGGACAATTACTGCAAATACTCCGAAACGGAGTGCGAAGATTATGGATGAGGCTGAGGCGGGTGGAGTTGGACGAATGAACAGACTTGGAAGCGGAATGGCAACGCCATCTTCGGCGTTCTCTAACCTGGTTGTGGGTTTCAATTTCCATTTGTCTTGTTTAGTCACCCTCTGACATATTTTTTGTGTCATTAGAAGCCGAAACCAAAGCCTGCGAAAGGCACCTACGAGCGGTTTGCTCGTATTCCTCGCAACCAGCTGTTGGACATGCTGTTCGCGTTGTATCGCGAACGGCCACGATGGTCAGCAAAGGATCTGAGAAGTCGCACTGAGCAGCCCGAAGCATATCTGAAGGAGGTATTGAATGGGATTGCTGACCTCCATCGGAGTGGTGAGTTCAACGGGATGTATGAGCTCAAGCCGAACTTCCGAGATTCGGTAAGTCGGACTGTCACTTGCAGGTGTTTCATTCTGTTAATATTGTGTATAGGTAAAGACTGAGAGCGGAGAATACTCGGGTGCGGCGGGTGAACTGATGAAGACTGAGCCTGATGTTGAAATGATCGATGATGACGAGGACGAGGATGATGACGATGAAGATATGGAAGAAATCTCATAGATATGTTTTATGTCACACTGCACATTCCGACCAATTCATTGTATTGTATTGCAAGAAGAAACCGCTATAATACTAATAAAATACGACCACCACGTCTGTACCCCCACAGGCCATAATATAGATCAGTCGAACTACAACTGGCACAGCGTCAGGATTCTCCTATCGCTAAACTCCTGGATGGAGGGCCCGCCATGCATCGCGTTAGACTTGACCGGAAGGAAGAGCAGCAGCGGGGATGGTGCAGTCCTGACAGGCCTGGGAGACGGTGCTGGCTGCTGCTGGTACTTCCACTGTGGCTGATCGCTTGGTTTCCTTCGTCGGCGTGCTTGTGGAGCCAGGCATACCGCAGCCTGGGCATGGCTCGGTCGTTGATGATGCAGCAGCGAAATCGGCAGGAGAGGGACTTGAGCCGATAGCAGTGTTTACAGCGTCTACATTGAGAGCCGTAGACGAACTAACTGCGCTGCTTGGAATGCCGCAGCCAGGGCAATCCGGGGTGGTCGTCGATGATGTAGCGGCTACAACTGCAGAGCCTGGTAAACCACAGCCTGGGCAATCTGGGGTAGCCGTCGATGATGCAGCGGCTACAACTGCAGAGCCTGGCAAACCACAGCCCGGGCAATCTGGGTTGACCTTCGACGTCGCCGCCGCGAAGTCAACGGCGCTTGTACTGATATCGGCGTTCACGGTGTCTGGGTTAGGAGCCGAATCGCCTTCTTTGCTGCGCGGCATAACGCAGCCTGGGCAATCTGGGTTGACCGTCGAGGCCGCTGCCGCGAAATCAACAGGAGAGGGGCCTGAACCAACAGCAGCATCCGCAGGGTCTACGTTGAGAGTCGCGGACGAGTCGAGTTTGACGCCTGGCAAGCCGCATCCTGGGCACTGGAGGAAAACGATTCATATCAGCAATGCTCATCTCAGGAACTGAGATATAGAAAGTAACGTACGAGTGGGCTCCCAAGTGAGATGCTTCCAAGAAAGCCAAGAGCGAGGACGAGAGTGAACGCAGATTGGATCTTCATTGTCGTCGATGTCGATAAGATTCTCGGGTTTGCTGGAGTTGAATGAGGCTGAAGTGGTGAGGAAAGCCGCTATCCAGCAGCGGCTTTTATATCGCTATGGGTGGTACGCACCGCCTTGCCCGCGGTAGCATTGGTGTGGTCGAGATGCTCAGCGTATTACCGGAATAAGTCACTCAGCTACGAGTCAGAGACCATAATGTGGTGGGACGAGAAGAAGGTCCTGTGCTCATTCCGCACGGTGCAGCGTCTGTTTCGTGTCCAAGGGGCAAGTATAGTGGAGGGACAGCTGACGAATCATCCACGGTCCGAAGAATGGTTGATCGGAGTGGTCGACGGAACAACTACTTAATCTCGCTTCAAGCAGAATGCTAGTAACGAACACGGGATCATATTGATGTCCCGTTAGACTCGGGCATATGGGTGCTAAAACACGTTCTTATGGGTATCAAGTGAGTGCATATGGATATCTGTAAATGGCACTGTCAAAAGGACAGATGTACAGACGTTCGTGTGCAGAGTCGAAAACCTATGCTTAGGTACCGAATCATTTCAGTAACAGCAGGGAAATTTGTTGCCAGAGAGCGTACCGCATTTCTTTCATGCAAGATCAGCAAAACGAGAATGTAAGCTGCCTGGATGGATATGCAAACCTATGCTGAGAGTGGTTGTCAACTTGTCACTGGCTAACACTCGGTCGAGAACTTCAGACCCTTGAAGCGCGGTTAACCCATTTTACTAGAAATGTAGGTTGTTTACCAAAGTACTTCAAGTTAAAATGCCGTTTTCACGTCATGTTGCCTCGCAGGGCTACTCAGACGCTCTCCGTATCATTGTAACCCTCATGGAAGCAACGCGGAGCATCATCATCTGTAACAAACGCAGAGAACTTCAAGTTAAATGCCAGCGACGCAGCCGTATTATTCGATACTACAACTCACTGCATGAACTGTGCTATGGCGTAAACTTTACATCGTATACTGGCGTAGCATTCGTGATGATATCATTCCGAGCTTGAAACATGATGAATCACTGCATTGTGCTTTGCGCAGCGATTGGTTGAAGTGCGACCAATTTGACTAAGGCTAAAGTGCTACGTCTAAGATGTTCTCAGTTGCCACAACGGAAATTTCACTGCTATTGATATGCCATTGTCGATTTTCTGGGGCTGCGGCATAAAGTACAGGTGGGCGATGAAAGTCTTCGCCACTCTTGCAATGCAAAAGCTTGAAAAGGAAGATGATTGCCGCTCTCTTCGGAACAATATGCCACCTGAAACAAATATCAGTCTAAACTATATACACGGTTGATTAGCCTATTTTATCGAGAAACTGTATTATATCCCCTCGTATTCTTACAATATTCTTCAAGTTTTGTATTCATGCGCTACTAAAGTAGTAGTGTGCTTACAAATGTCAGTGTGAGAAACAACTGTCAAATTCATCGTTAGCTGTAACAGTGTAAGCTTAAATTTAACCTTGGTTGTCGCCCCACTCAACCACATAGTGAACTACATAGGATTCCCATTCCCAATCGATTTCGGCTGCACCCGCCACGAAAAATGCTCGAAACATCATGGATCGATATCACTACCATGTAAAACGCTCTGAGACGGTGCCCTTGCGATGTTTCTTACCGACCTTCATCTCCTGTGTTTGTTGACCACTAAGTGAAATCTCTGGGACATTGAACACATGAACGTCCACTTTCTTTTCCTGTCCTACCTCAGCATTTTGATAAGGATGCAGGACAAATGTGTTAGGTACCTCTAATTAGCTCTCGCTCAAGGGATCCCTTCCAGTTTCATTCGTTCTGTCCTTCCTTGACTGTCCAACACGAGCGCTAGCTAATTGCATACCCGTACCCTGACGAACGTTTGGCATGGATTGGATTCCTGTAAACACGTACTTTGCTGAATATTGCACAGGATAGCCCTTCCTGCCGGACCTTAAGCTCGGTTCCGTGAGTCACTATGCGATAGACTTAGGTGATTTCGCGGCATCACCGTGCCAGTGAGCGACGTCAGTATCCTGGTCCCATATTGTCATCACTAAAATTACTCCTATCAGTCTGAATGCTGGCGAATCATCTTCACGTTCGCCGTGATCGTAGCCCGGCTCTGTAGCGAAGAGTCCTAGAGGCACTGAGGCGAAGCGAGTCCATCTGTGAGCCGAATCTCATTTTCTGTTCCGGTGGTACGTTTATCGACCGTGAATAAAAGGTATTCGCACGAGATGTTCTACTAGGCTCTTCATCTTTGTTCCAGAATGGATTAGGTCAATTTAGGCTTTGTCGTTGGCTGTTCCTGGTAGGAATCTCGGTCCGGTGGCACCATGGTCTTCTAACTCGGAGAATGTCAGGAGAGTCGAGGCGCTGCAACCCGACCACAATCTATTTTTGTCTCGTGCGCGTAATCTTCTTGGTCTTCATCATCTCCTCTAGAGGTCGCTCCAGTCATTCGGTCTATGAGGAGGCTTTACCGATCTCAAAGGATCAGCAAACCAAGAGGTGACGCCGATGTCGACCTCGCTTATCCGTTATTACAGGAAATAGGAAGCCTTTGGCCGTACGGGAACTGCGAAACGGAAATAAAACGTAATAGAAAGGAAGCGAACACGAAATACAGATACAAGTACAAGTACAGAGGGAAAGAATCTCTAGGAAAAAGATGAGGAAGAGCTAGTACGGTCGCGGGAGCGAGAAAGCGGAGCGCGGAGGTCAAAGCGCGTGCGTACCGAGTCGAGGAAGAAAAGGACAACCGCCAACGATGTTGTGCAGACGCCCAACTTAATAGTCCATGGACCAGTTGCTGCATCGGTGAAGGAACTTATTTTCGAGGACGCTGGTGAGGTGCTGATGTAAATCTCGGGTGACAGCTGCTTGTGCGGCTCTGCGTTGAGGCGGACGACTTGGATGAACTCCGACGTCGGAGAGGTATTCTCCATCAGAGAGCAAGCGGCTAGCTGGCGATGGGCCATTTCTGAATCACGTGGACGCCCTTTCGGCGCCAGAATACGAGGAAGAGAGTCACGGCAGCCAAGCGGCTCTACCCTCGCAACCCCGTACTACAGCCAAGGGTATAGAGCAATCCATGGATTGTGTTATTATCCTTTAAGTGTGCCCGAAATCGAACAACGAAAGACGGGACCTCCATAAACAGACAATCTAAATGTGAAAAATTGGCCACAGCACCCAATGCAGGACCCTCTGAGGCTCCTCGGTTGCGGGGCACACGGCGTGGTGCGAAGGAGAAAGAGATGGACGGCTTGGAGCCATGGATCTTTCCCTGTTGACTAAGATACGCGTCTGATAAACTCGACAAGCTGTGTGATTCACGTGATGTAACCTTACCTTCCTAATGCAGCCTCCACAATGAGCACGAAACTCGTCTATCCAGAGACCCAAAACTCAAAAAGTAGCACCATCGATTTGTTGTATTAAGCCTTCTCTACAAAATGATGGAACAGAATTTCTTAAAAGTGAATATTGGCTGAGTTATTTTGCAAACTATGTTTTTTGCTCTAAATGCTGTAATTATACTTTTCCAGCAGTCTGGTTAATTTTTAAAATTTTTTCCTTCAGATTTCGCCACCATTAGATAAGGATTTATGACAAATAACTGCTATATATGTACATTACATAATAACATTTATAATATATAGTATTTGTCATAATGATCAGATGGTGTAATCATCTTGACAAAGCTACAAAATTATAGATACAGCCTGTAATAGTCAAATATTTTATTGTTGTAATATTTAATTCTATCTGAAAATAGGCAAGATTCTCTTCTCTGTAAAATATAGTATCATCTTTGGCTGAGGCAAAACTTCAAGTCGAAGTTACACTCTGAAATTTCGCCGTAAGGGGCCTTCCTAATTTGGTAAGCGAGGGTTGTGACCGTGACGTGACTAACTTGTCGAGTTTATCAGACGCGTATCTTACAACAACGGACTCGGACGCGTCGTTCTCGTCTTATTCCTCGTCGTCTTCCTCAGCCGCCCAGTAAGACTGGTCTTCGTCGATTGTCCCTAGAGTAACAATTGTGGGTGATCTTTCGATGGACTGCCCTTGCAGCGTTGTGACAGGTGTTGAATCTGGTGAATTGCTTTCGCCTCGCCGGTACTCGTTATCCTCAGCCATAACCCTGGAGTGCCCGGGTTGCTATCGTACTGGAACACGCTCTCGCTCATTGGTGCATTTACTGGTGCCTCTGGAAAGTGATTAGAGGGACCTGGTGCGTTAAACAGGAAATTTGTCTCATCCTCCTCCTCGATTTTGACCGGAGTGGATTCTGGCTCTGTAGACTGTGTGTCGTCGAGTCTTGGCCTTTCCACCACCAAACCTGGCACGGCTGTCTGGATAGTCCTATTCGTATCTCGGCCGCGCGTCGTTCCACCATTTGCCGCAGGTATGATGACGTTGCGGGATCGCAAACTCCTTATGTTTCTTGCAACTGGCGGCCCTTCGGATATAGGAGGAATGACGCTAGATGGTCCTCCAACTGGTTCAGTGACACGCTGTCGCTTTCTTGACCTGAGCTCGTGATCCTTAGCATCCGCCTCGCCTATTCGGCGTTTCTTGCTGGAGGAAATAGCGCGGCCTTCAGAATGTTCACTTCGACTCGACCTCGAAGCTTTTTTGCGAGACCATCCACGACCCCGTCGCTTGCGGGTCTTCGACTTGGTCGGAGGCGGGGAAGAGGCATCTAGGCCATTTGTAAGTTCATATTACAATTTCGTACGGTGGTAAAACTCACCTTCGCAAAGATCTTGTGAGCTTTCGGTGGAAGATTCCGAGGCCTGTGACTGGCTATCAAGGTCCTCGGCTGAATGAATATTTTAATGAAGAATTTTGACTCGGAATGAGGAAGATGACTTACCATTTCCTCTACGTTTCGTTTCGACGACATGCGCAGCTTGCGCTGCCTGCGTGTTGGAGGACGTCGACCCTATCGAGGAGGATTGGTCCTCTCTAGTGATGTACTGTTGTTGAGCACCGTGGCTACCCGTGGTAGTGCTGAAGGCATTGCCATGGACGTTGATGGAGCCTTCAGCTTCATTACTAAAGATGGCGGTGCTGTCTCTGCTGCTTGTCCGGATATTTCTTCCAGAATGCGAATCGCGTGACTCTCTTGCGCGTGTCGTAGGCGTTTCGATGTTCCTGGTTGCTTCGACGTTATTGTTTGCACGTCGATTTGCCATCGCGCGAGTGAGAACCATTGTGTTCTATTGTATATATGATACGTTGACGGGGGAAGTTGTTCCGAGGAATTGTTGTTGGGTGGGGGAAGTTGTGCGGAGAGTGGGGGAACTGAGCTGACTTGGTTGACTTTGAGAGCCACGCTCTTTATATGATTTCACAATAAGGTCTGAGCCTCATCACTTCAGACCTAACTGTTTTTGTTCATCATTATCTTCTATGACTCGTTAACACCTTAATTTCAAGGGCGGTTATCCCCGAGCCACGATCGATGAGGATTGAAGGGAAAGCAGTGTAATTTTTTGACGTTCATGGCTTGGTTCTATTTTCCTTGACTTCAATTCTGGAAGGATCTTATACTTCTCCCGGCCCTTTGGAGAAGGGTGGAGGAGGGGTTTGAGACCCAAATAACCTGCTTTCCCCGTGAATTTGACTCCTTGAATGACCTGCGGTCATGATGCTCACATATCGTACAACAATTATTTATCGTGGTTCTACCCGTAAGCTGACTTGTTTTTTATTATTAAAAAACTCCGTTTTATGTTGAAGAGTTCGTCAATACCTGCTTGTGAACGATGTGGATGATCTTGATTACCTCTCACGAGTAACGCTTAGCCACGCGTCTTGGCACTCAATCCCTTCCCTATTTTCTTGATCTTGAAAACTAAGAACCGCCTAATTCCTTCTCTGTCCTTGACACATACTTCTCTTTTAATATCTGAACACTTTATGCCAATAGGTCGGTGTTGATCTCCTCGGCAGGGAACGTGAGGAAAGCGGGACCAGTGCAACTCACGGGCATAGTGTCCATTCTATATTTAGAAGTTAGAAGTAGGCGGCTCAAAAAGTGTGGGAAATATAACCTTATTTCCTCCTCCTAAAATGTACTGTTGTTTTATACAATATGTTGAATAATGATGTAACAGATAAGTATGCTCATGTACATTGTTAATAATGGTTATTTGATGAATAATTCTCGAGTTATGCTTAAACTAGTCAGGTCTAGTTTAACTTAGTTTCATTCTGCCAAACAACAATATTGCTCTGTTTTTCTCTGAAATCAGTATTAAGCCAAGAGAAGCAGCGAGATGAACGCCGTTATTGCAACAAAATTTCTGCATGCATCCTTTGCTTGTATCTTGATTTAGCTGTATTGCATCAGGACGTAATAAGTCGATAAGTACTGCAGGACTAGTGCAGGCTCAGAAAATTGGCAACAGGACAAACCCAATCGGATTGAAATTTCGGATTTCGTCGTCCACCCGTCAGATGTTCAAGACAGAGTAAAAGTAATACAGTTACATGACGTCATTTGTAAGGGATTCCCAGACCATGAACAGAATTTACATATCAGATGTCCTTCAGCTGACTAACCTTTATACATTGAGAAGAATGGCATATAGTCTGTGCGATTATTGCAAGGACTCATTTCACACGCCAGACTTGATGATGTCCGCTGCTTTCTCTGCGACACCATAAAGCGTCTCACTTGGATGGGCACTAATGTGGAGAGGAAGTATACTTGCATCTACGACACGTAGGTTCACCGTGTCATAGACGCGAAGCTTGCCATCCACAACTCCTCCCAGATCTCGCCGCATCATCGCCGCAGAACCAATCTCATGAAACACTGACGAAAATTCGTCGTGAATCCACGAATGCCATGCATCATCTGCACCACCATTCCCATCGTCAGGAACTACATCGATTCCAGGATCGGTCTCTCCAGATGAGATGGACGCGAACGCTGGATTATTAAGCACCTTCCGGCCAACTCGGGTTCCAGCTGTCTGGACGGCGAGGTCATAATCGACATCGAAATAATTCACCGTAACCTTCGGCTTTGTGAAGACACTTGTATCCGTAATAGTGATATTGCCGCGGCTGAACGGAAGTATGTTCCACATGGTAGTGTTGATGCCGCTATCGAGTATTGTCAGATGAAGAGGAGCAAGACAATGTAAGTATATGAATTTACCCGGAAGTACCGATCCCAAGGTACATTTCACAAATAGGAGCTAGATAGGAGGTTTAACGCTTCGGCACACACTTCACGACGATCTACTCACCATGATGATTTGCAATCAGGTCCGCTTGGATGCCAAATATCGTAGTAAGCGCATCAGCATTCAATCCATTGACTGCCTGACTTTGTGCCCATGACGGATATTGAGTCAAGACGTATCTAGCAATGTCGTCACCCGTCACACTTCCATTTGAGCCTGCTCCTTCAGAGAAGAGCTCATGAATATTCAAGAACGCAATTGTAAAGTCGGGCCCTGTGCCGCCTGCGTCAAAAGAAGGTTGTGTAGAATGCGCGATATTGCTTAATGTTCGTTCCTGGAAGTTTCGCCCAACGGTTGGTAGATTGACCCTCACATCAATTCCAAGTGGAACGAGAACAGACGGATCGCCAATTCCAGACAGCTGAAGTACCTGAGGGGAGGCAATCGCACCTGCGGATAGAATCACTTCCTTACGAGCATGGACGGTGAACGTATCCCCTGTATTGTTCGAATCCTTGAACTGGACACCTGTCGCCCTTACGTTAGGAGTGGATCCGGAAAGAAGCACCTTGGTCACGCGGTTGTTGATCAGCGTAAGCCAATTCGTTCTCTCGTTTTCGACAGGAGTAAGGTACGCTTGTGCAGACGACGAACGGTGATCGTGGTCTTTCGGATTTATCGATTCGGGAACGTAGCTTACACAATTGTCATTTCCACCAAGCCCGTCTCGACATCGTGCAATTCCAGTTATGTTGCGGACGGCATCAATAAATGCAGGTTGTGCCGGTCCGCCGTACATTCCTTGCGCGTAAGCGACTTGAACAGGTCCAATGAAACCGTGGTAAGCATCAATATCGTCTGCACCCTTTGCGCGCTGCACCTTGTCCGGTCGAGTGAAACCTTCAGACTGGTATTGATTCAAAATATGTCGGTCGAATGAAAATAATAGTTTCCGACCTTCTTCATATATGAGAACAGAGAATCAAAGTTCCATTCCAAGCTTTGATCCTCGTCGCTGAGGACTTTCGAGAACGCATCGTATTGCTCTTTCGTGCCACGAGTGATGACAGCGCCATTAATGGAGCTACATCCACCCAGCGTTCTACCTCTATATATGAAAATAATAACATATTATTGAATAAATCTATTCTCCTTTGGTAGAGACTTACGCTCGAATGACCCTGTTCTGGTCGGTGCCCCAGGCCCAGTCTAGAGATGTCCCAAATACTGCACCATATTCCAATAGATCAAATACCCTTGGGTCTTTGCGGTCATCATTTCCCGCTTCAATAACGAGGACGGTTGTTGAAGGATCTTCGGTAAGGCGGCCAGCGATAGTGAGGCCCGCAAGACCACCTCCAACAATAACATAGTCAAAGGTTTGATCGTTAGCAGTATTCGGATCCGAAGTAACACCAAATGCACGCTTGCCCAGTGATAGCAAGGCCGATGCAAGTAGATAGATAGATAACAGTAGAGATTTAGCGAGCATGTTTGAACCTCAAAGGGTACTAGGGGATGAGGGTCATGAACGAGTTTCTGGGGCTTATATATCGCTCTGTGCCTCTTTAATCCATGTTAGACCAAGACTAGCAGTAAGAAGAATAGCCGTCCTTAACCAGAGTTTCTGCGATTGGCTCTTGCTGCGGACCGTTGTTTCCCCTATTTTATCAGATAAATCGTGTCAGCTGGTGGTGCATGCTTCGAGAACCAGGGATGAGATGAAATACAGACCAGATTGAAGCTATGAGCCTTGACAGTCAGCAGTTGAATGCCAATGACGTAGTACTTGCCTCACGGTTATTTGACATCGACTGCAAGGGACTCCCAGATCGTGAACAGCATTCGTCTAACAGATATCCTTCAGATAACCAAGTTTTGTGTGCGCATTAACAGAAGACTGGAATAGCAGCGAAGTGTGAGCATGACCAGGGCAGCGCGGGACAACCGGATAGAAGGTAAGAAACCTACCAAGGGATTTCGAAGAAGTAAAGATTCCAGTCTGCAGTGGAACGAAAGATGGCGACTGAGGCCCACAAAGTCCGAGCGATCATCGCGGGACTTCGTACAAAGTAATACTCGCAAAAAATGGGGTCTCACCGTCAATACAAGCATCTAATAGCGAAGACACGGGATTGATCGGCGAAGCCAACGTCTGGGAACTGCGAAAGGGGCATTTCTCTATTTTTGGTTGCCAAGAGTTTTGGATGATTGACATACCATATCTTTGCTCTTCTCAGAAACGTTCAAATTCGTGCTCTTGAGTGAATGTACACGGCATTCGAACATGAATTATAATTATAAGTAGGCACATAGTCATATGCGACTCAATATCGTAATGCTCCTGATTGTTTGGTCATGGAAGACAGAGAAGCGGCCAGATGATATATTGATAGATTTGAGGGAGTCAACAACCTCTGGGGATATTTGTGACATGTGTTTAGAGCAAAGGCAGAATCGACATTTCCGGTGCAACTCGCGAGAGCCAAATAAACATCATATTAGTCAGCGTCACATGACCAGGACTTTCTAGTTTCGTTCGACTAGGTTGACGGAACTTAGGTTCCAAATTAGGCAATGCCGATTACCTTCCTTTTAACTTTTACAAGCACCAAAGATTTAGCTGTACATCCGCACGACAACAATCGAAAATTCAAACTTTCAAAGTTGGTCGCCATTCACTTGTCATCGAGCGCAGAGAAGACAAAATTGAATATGTTTGCAGCAGCACCGCTAGAGAAGTACCTCTAGTCACACTTTCTGAACACTTGACTGTTCATATGAGTTCGTGGTGTACACGTGGGTTGTGTGTTAGCGATGTTTCTCAAGTCAAGCCCTCATTATTCCAGACTCAGTGAGACAACCTCATCGGGTGGTTTGCGTGCGAGAATACAGAACTCCTATCCCCATCAGATATATTTTTGTTTCAGATTCAGGTTTGTTGCTTTGAATCGAAATTTCTAGCCTTACGGAGTTCCGCTAATTCTCTGAGACAAAAATAATGTCTTTGCGAACTATGACGGCTCCTGCATGCCACTGCTAGCTTTGCGCTCGTGCTAGTATGTCGCCACAGCAAGCAAAGTGAGGTAAACATTTTAGGGACCGCGAGTGCGCATTTGCTTCCGGTACCACAAGTCAATCCACTGGCACATAAGAGAAGCAGTCAAAGAAGTCGGAGAAACGCAAGGAGCACACTGGTTATTCACTTCAAATCCATGTGGAACACTGGAATACCGATTTCGGTGTGTGCCCCTCGATCCACCTTGAGAAGCCGCCCAAAGGAGGGAGTGGGCTCCGCCACTTCTGCAATCCAGACCTCTCTAACCCAAATGACTTAGTAAAGGAAGGAAGGGCTATGATAGTCGAGATGAAGGCGACAGGTGATCCAAATGTAGGTACAGCACACAAGGTAAATCTTCTGCAATTGAATGACTTTCTGTTTAGACGTTACAATGCAAGCTGTACGTTAGAGTCTGCTCGGAAAATATAGGTACAAAACAGAACGTGCAGATTAAGAATACGTTCGAATACTACACTACAACCATCAGGTTACCTAGGAAGATGGAGGGTACTTGGAGTTCAAAGAAGGAATGTATACCTGACTCCGGGAATGCAGAGTATAAGAAGACGATTGAGCTGAAATGCTTGCGTTCTGGAAGGAAAACCTGCACCTGTGAAAGTCATGGTGACATACATGTAGTTGCAACTCCATCTTGAGCCATACAGTCTTCTGTTGGTTGAGTTCCTACTTAACAACAATCGTAATACAATAAGAGTAAAATCCATCATTTGAATTTCAGTGAAAATGAGCCTCCACCAATTTAGATCCTACAAATCTAGACTGAATAATAGGGCTCCGCGCGTATGCATATACGCATATGCGCGTATATCTTGGACCTTATACGCATACGGGCGTATAAATACGCCCGTATATTTTTTTTCACACACCAAATACGCATACGCGCGTATAGTACTACCTGTATATTAGTAATTGCCCTGGAACTTCTCCCAAGCAGCCATCCCAGTCGTTCCTTGTCTCTGAACAACCTTGCAAGTTCTCTTAAAGCTTGATTTGATTAGCAAGGACAGACTACAGATCTTGATGAACCTACCTATTAATCATTATTGTACAAACCTGGACTTCTGACTAGAAGGTCATTCTGATCATTCTACATTACTGGGGAACTTAGGTTTTGCATTGCTTTCCCAATTTAAGAAGTTTGGGCTCAAGGATAATCTTGAAGAGTGTATACAATTACTTTAATTACTTGAACATGCTACAGTTCATAAGTTTTCAAGCTTGATGAAGTGTCTCAGGAGTCAGGATTGCTGATTTATGGGCTGAATATAATGCTCCTTACTACTTGTACAAAGTTTTGAACTATTAAACCTTCACAGTATATGATCATATTTTAATAATCTAAATATTTTTGACATAAGAATACAAAGAATATTGAACTACAATTACCGAATTTGTACACTTACAAAAGTATAAGCTTACAAATATTATAAGTGCGTATACGGCATATACGCAAAATTTTCGAGAACCCTATACGCATACGCGCGGAGCCCTACTGAATAACAATGTCCGATTAGATCAGGTGCAGGATTCAAGGCTCTGAACTAACAGATAAAAGTGGTATAGCAGTATAAAGTAATACGATCCTGGTATAAAGGAGAAAATAGAGAGAAGTGAGATAAGGGATGCGAATATTTTATAAAGTAATCTTGGGATCCGTCATCCGTCATCCGTCATCCCAGGCCGAAGTCCAAACAGAGGTACAGTTTGCTATATATATATATGAATCAGGAAATAATATCAGCAAGATCCTTGAAATTTTCATTCTGCCAATCATGGAATGCACGCACGCAACTCTGTAGCTCTTAGTACAAGTGAGTTAAAATGGCTGGCTAATGTAATTGCACATCCTTCGACGCTTCGTCTTCGTCGCTCTTGCTCGGTGTCCTGTGCATTCGCTTCGTCGCGATCATCCTGTCACCATCAAATATACTTTTGTTTTAGATTTCCCCAATGCTAGTTGTTCTTTCGAAGCAAACTTGCTAGCCTTATGGAGGTCCGCTAGTTCTCTGGGAGAAAAATAATGTCTTCATGAATTTTGCTGGCTCCGGAATGCCACTAGCAGGTTTTGCACGAATTGGTATGTCGCCACAGCAAGCAAAATAAGGCGAATATTTCAGATTCTCCAAGTAAGCATTTGCTCTCGGCACCACAAGTCGACCCACATAAGAGAAGCAGCTAAAAATGTCGGAGAAACCTAAGGAACACACTGGTTATGCGATCCAAATTCAAGTGCAAGACTGGAGTAACGATTTTGGCGTGTGCCCATTAGTCAACCTTGACAAGCCACCTAAAGGGAGGAGTGGGCATCGCCGCTTCTGCAATCCAGACCTCTCTAACCCAAATGACTTGGTAAAGGAAGGAAGGGCTATGGTCGTCGAGATGAAGACAACAGGTGATCCAAATGTAGGTGCAACACGCCAGGTAAATCTTCAGCAATTGATTAACCTGCTTTTTAGAAACTACAGTGCAAGCTGTACGTTAGAGTGCATTCGGGAAATGCAGGTTCAAAATCGAACCCGCAGGTCAAGAATACGTATGAAACCTACACTGCGAGCGTCAGTCTACCTGGGCAGATGGGAGGTGACTGGAGTTCAAAGAGGGAATATGTTCCTGATTCCGGGAATGTGGCATACAAGAAGACAATAGAGCTGAAATGCTCCCGGTCTGGAAGGAAAGCCTGCATCTGTGACAATCATGATAACACACATGTAGTAGCAACCCCATCTTGAGTCAAATTGTCAATCTAGTAGTTTATTGAATGACTTTCGTTGCTTTACAGTGAGATCCTACGCAATATTAGTAGTATCTGTCATTTAAATTCCAGTAGAAATCAGCCACCACAAATTACATTCTATGAAACCTACACTAAACGATGAGATCGATTAATATCACGAGTACATTGTTCAGAGGTTTGGGCCTACAGATAAGGCCAATCAGTAAGATGAAGACGGAATATGCGGGTACACCCCAAAGGAACTTCTGTCGATAAAGTGCTACAGCAGTATTAAGAAATGCTAAAATGGTAAATTAGAGACGATAACGAGAAGAAAGATAAGCGAATACGGTTATTCAGTACAACAATCTGGACATCCGTCGCCCGGCATCCAATGTCCCAAAGGAATACATTCAGCTAAAAAAACACAATCAAGAAGTAACACTAGCGAGAATCTTGAAGATTTCATTCTGTCGATCACGGAATGCACGCAGCTTCGACATTCCTAACGCAAGAGAGTTAATACGGTTAGCTAGCGCAATAGCACGACCTTCAACGCTTCGCCTTCGTCGCTCTTGCTCCGAATCCCGTGCGTCGTCATCATCGCTCTCTTCATCTGTCGTGGTAGCGGGCCCAGACGACCGGTGCCGCCTATGTTCGGAGCCGATACCACGCTCGAGCATGCGGCGAACACGATCCATTCGTGGAGTAAGAAGCACTGCACTTGAATCGTTTGTCAACGCTTCAAGAGCCACAACCGTATCTTCTTCTTCGGCGGCACGGACTGCTGCACCGATCATGCCGAGTTCGCGCATAAATGGCTGTAACGGGCGTGGACATGCTGCGAGTGTCAGATGGGCGCCAAGGACACCATCAACCTCAACCTCTTGTTCGGCACCAGCGTGTGCCGAGGGAAGTACGCGGGTACGTGTGGATGCGACATCAAGAATAGCAAGAGCAACTGCAGCGAAGTATGCTCGAGGTGGATCACTCTTAAGTAGTCGGCGCACATGGTGGTAGCGAGTAAGAACATCCGCAAGAGATGCATATAGTGTTTCACGAATAAGTTGAATAGCAGGTGCATCTATCGCAAACGACGGTGAGGGGGGGGGAGAAGACAAGGAAGAAGATGGCGAGGGCGTGCGAGTGCGCGAATTAGGGTGTGAATGGGGTGAACTGCCATAACCTGGAGAAGTGGGAGACAGAAATTCTGACCGGGAAGGCGAAGTAGGGGGTAGGTGTACTGTCTGGCTATTTGGCGATGGAGATGGAGATGGATCGTATTGAGGTGGAGGGACAAAGCTTGCAACACGTCGTCCTCTTCCCGCTGCTCCGTCCTGGGCATCCAGTGCCGCCTGAAGGTCAGATGCATACCGATCTTGGAATGAGCGACGCTGGCTTATTTCAATCGCAACCGCACGAAGTTCCGAAGCGATGCGATTTAAGTCCGGATGTAATGGGCTTGTGAGCGGCTCAAGCCCACAAATGATACGCGCAAGATCATGCTGATATTCTGGAGCAAGAGTCTGAATTTCCGGGACTGCTCGCGCCCATGTCTCTAAGAAACCGATAAATGGTCTTGGGCAGTTGTCCGCTGTGAGGTCTACAGGGCCATCTTGCTTGCCTGATCGCGGAAGCGGAACCGATGGCGGCGAGGTAGTGCATCGAAGCGCTGCAAAGTATAGGCACAATGCTGGCCCTGTTGATATGTTTGTCAGAACTAGGATCGGAACGAGATATGGGCGTGCTTGCGACAGACCTGTGATCATGATGTCGGCTTCCGCGCTGCTGAGAAGCTCGGTGTCAAGCAGATTCTCGGCTTTGGCTTGAGTAAGGGACGATTTGAGATAGACATGAAACGCATTAGATACATGATCTTCTGACAGACGTATCGTCATCTTGCCGTCGTCGTCGAGTTGTCCCTCCTTCGTTCCCAACGATGACGGTGAGCGGAGTAGATGCGCATTGCGCGTGAGCGTAATAATTGCGTCGGCTAACGTAAGCAAACCGCGGAAGCGCACGTGATTTGTTAATTTCTTTTTTGCGTTCCCACCATTGACCCCGTAATCCTTGCTCTTTACCGATTAATTCATCTCAAACCTGCAATACTCTCCCAGTTCACCTCAATTTGGAGCCATATATAATGTGAGCGTTTTTTTAAATCATTTTACAAAATCAACGTTTCTAATCCAGGATGTATGCTAAGTTACCTTAGCGCTTAGACATGCATGGCTTGTCAAAGTCGAGCGGGATCTTTGTTGCATTTTTCTCTTAGTCCTTGATTCCCGGTTGAGTGGTAAACCAGGATTACATGCATAAAGTGGCCCAACATAAAACACATTACGTTTTATAAACGCGCGTTCGCCGTAAGTACGGATCATTACACTCGACATTACACGAACTAATAAACTATTCTAAGAAGAAAATAGCGTTTTCAGGCTCCGTTCCAGTATTCATTTGGACAGGTAATCTTGCGTCATTTGATGTCACTTATATATAATCAAAAGCTAATGAGCCGATATAGGAAGTGGTATACTGCTTTACGATTGTTCATCCATTTTCAACCCAGGGTCAGAGCGAAGCAGTAACGGTCCTGTGTGCCGTTTCTCGCATTTACTTCAATCGGATCAATCCCACATGAGACCGGACCTTACCTGCTATCGACTCTGTAACGGAGGCATTCGGCGACATAACCAGCCGAGATAACGTGCTTCTCTTACAGGAGCTCTTGTGTGAGCTGTCTCATAAAGCCGTTTTATGGATACCCATTCAATTCCGTGAGTCGGCCATTTCTCCTTGGAAGTGTATTTGACAGAGGAGTTCATATACCACTTTCCCGAATTGTATTTGGTTCGAAGCAATAGTGGCCCCGCTAATAATTGTAATGTGTCGCCGCACACACACTCTGGTCACACGAGAGGGCATGTGCTCGTTTCCATCCACTAATAATATCGCTCCGGTACGAACACCTGTACTTGTCCGGAAGTCAGGTAAGTCCACATGAACATGCGCTCTCGCACTCTGATCGCAACTTCCCTACCTGCTGCAGGTAACACCACATATAACCGACACAGTGTGCCTCAGCTCGGCGTATACGGGTTCCGTAAAACCTTTTCCGTTAACGTTCGGCGGATTCCCCGATTGGTGATGAATAGATCCCAATCTCAGATTTCACCTTCATCCACTCGATCATTCGAGACAGCTGCACAGTTGTACTACAGGTGAGCATATATGCGATCAGTGTTCTTGGACTTGGCATTGTGCGACGGAAGCATATTCCCTTGAGACAAGCAAAGGCTCTCCACAAAACAATCCGTCGCTCGGAATTCGACATGCAACTCGGAGCTCTAGTGATTACAGTATTATATGGTATTCAACAAGTTCATGGGCTGGTTGGATCTTGTGAATCTCATCGCCTTGAAAGAATCGGGCAGATCGGACGGGATGAGGCTGTATACCCCTCCTAAGTAACGTAAAATCAGGGACGAAGGTGAATGTGCTCGTAAGCTATATGATTATCTTCCGAGAAAATTGGCCTGCAGGATGATAGAACACGCTTAAACATTCCCTACTTCAAAGAAAACCGTTCTCAAGAAACACTTACAATGAGATTATTTTAGGCCAATACTTTTAAGTTAATTTTAACGACAGGCCCAATAAACTGTGAAGAGCTGATTGAAATACACAGTAATACAGGTATTTCATAAAGACAGTAATATCACTTTCACAAAATCGAAACGAGAATGCTTATCTATCAATTATCTACATGCACGAAGCCCCTCAACTTTTCTATGGCTTCATCCTAGTAGTATCATACTTGAACTCCCCTTTAAAGTATTACGACAGAAGTCTCGGTGAAGGCCTACTTTCCGCAATTTGAAATGCACAATCAGATAGCCCCTGCGCCACGATCAGACTTAACGGTACTTCCCGCCTTCTTTATCCGAGTACAGTACACACATACTTGCAATTAAATAGTCTTTGACCACACAGGAGTTTGCATTTTACGTGTACTGCTGAATGATTGATTTCGAGATCACACGCCAATAACCGAGTGCCAGAGATCGGATGAATAGAAGTATGCGTACCACACAGTACAAGATAACATGAGGTATATAGAAGTGCCATATTCATGCTTTTCTTTACCCTCCTATCTTGTAATGGGGCTACATTTCATTTAACTACTTAAAAGCACTATAAACGAGCAAAATACACTTCCAGTTTAATTCCAAGGCTCACAAAGTGTATTTCCATTCATCGCCTTGACGAACAGAGAGAAGACCGACGTACTGGCCTTTCTTCGGAATCAGGCTTACGCCGCCGACAGCTTATTGAATGCTATTAATACAATGCAATGTGGCGCCTCGCTTCATTTGCTTGTAAATTCACCGAGACGTAATTATATTTCTGATGGATGACTTGAGAGCCACTAAGAAGAAAGAACATAGCAAAACGAAGTACCACAGGAGGCGACCGTTGCTTCTGCAGAAGAGACTTCCATGCTGTGGCTCGTGATGTTACCAAATAAAGTAAAAGAAAGAAAAAGTAAGGGAAAGAAATGCAGTAATGGATGCAAAGGAGGTAATTTAAGTTCCCGATTCGACTGCTCGTTGTGTAAGATAAAGTATTGTATTCAGATTCAATTATCATCACAATTACTGATATCAATTTAAATTCTGAAACTCTGGATAAGCAATAGCACTCGCACTGCAATAACTCCACTCGCGGGTGCGGTGTTCGTTAGCGCGTCCGACGATAACCTCTACTCCTGTTGCGTAGTGACGCCACTCGCTGTTGGCCGATGTGTGTGCACCGAGTGCCAGGACTATTAAAAAATGAACGTTGCGTTGCGCCAGAGGGATAGGGAGATATTGGAGGGCGCATCAAATAAAACGTGTGGCGGCGGCGTAGTATATGTTTATGCGCACGCAGTAGTTACAGAATTTACAGCAACAATTTAGTCTGGTGTGCACATGAACATTGAACAGGTCTGCTACTAGCCGAACCGCACGGACGATTTTCACCGTATAGGTAAATTACAGAAGTGATAATAATGGTGTTGGTGCTTCGCGAGTTTCGTATTGAATTGAATTGAAAAGGAAGATCGGGAGGAGAGCGGGAAAAAGAAGTTTAGAAGTCCCGTCGTTGCCGGGTTGCCAATGTTAGAGAGAGGTGCTTCGGAGCACTCTCTGTCTTTGAGTCTTCCTATTTTGATGGCGGACGGGAACGCGTCATTCTTCGTTTCCGTCATTTTCTTCAATTTCGGCGGCGCGATAAGTAATTGTAATAAAGAAGCGAGTGGCAATTGTACATCATTATATGAATTCAAGCTGCCCTGGTCCCATCATTCAGCCAGGGCTTAGTGGCACAAAGGTCAGACAGGATGATGTTACGAGTGGCTTAATGTATATGTGTCTTACAGGGGCTTCGGGATTAAGCATATATGCGTGTGCGTGTGCTGATGCGACGTGATACAGAATAGGACGTATGAGCTGCTGAATGTATGCGGGTATGAAGTGACTGGTGGCTGGTGACCATTCGCGAAGACGGAGCTTCCGGCGGCTTTTTCTTCACGAGGGAAAGTAGCCTTCTTCGTAGTACGTAAGACGCAATCGGGAATGGAGAGGTGGTGAGCTTTGTTTCCACCGCTGAATTCGACCTGGGAGAGATGGAGAGAGATAGGAAGAGATGAATCGAAAGGCGGAGAAGATCGACGAGATTTGGAGGAGGAGAAATGAGGACATGGGAGATCTTGACGGAGGACAAAAGAGCAGAGCGCAAATCCTGGAAGAAGGGAGAAGGAGAGATGAGGACCGATTGCCGAATGGGAATGCACAATAGAAGAACGCGCACAAGAAGGGAACCGGCCGGGATGGTGTTTGGGACGCCCGATTGCCGAAATTGCCGAAGATAAGGTTGGCTGATGGAAACTCCCGTGGGAACAAATTGCTTGAGCGCACGTCACCAGAGATATGACTCGTGAGTGAGGAGCACTGCAGTTTTGGCAGGTTCACTTCGAAGAAGTTTGATGCACACATGCGCGCTAGGGACCGATGAGATGTGCGTCGCTTTTTCTGGACATTTGAGTTGTCGCAGGAAGGAAATTGAGAATAAAATAGATATAAATATATATGAAATGTATAACAGCGGACGCGGAACACGAGCACTAAGACTTAAGAGTAGATGCGGTGCTTGTGCCTATCCAAGACATATCTCGCACGCCATCCCGGCTCGGGCAGCCCTAGCCTATAAACTATATCGCTTCTCCATTTCGAAGGTCGAAAGGCAGGGGTCAGCGTCCGACTATCGGGCTTTCAAATCGCGCCTCTCATCGAATCCCATCTCAACCCACCAGGTCCGAGCAAGCTAATCTGTGAACCATCGCTGCCGTCATCCCTCTCCCATCTCTCTCTGGCGCATCTCACCCCACATCTCTGGCGCCCTCGATCGAGAAGGGCAACCGTGCACAGACGAACAATCGGCCGTATTCTAAAATTACAGTAGGCGTCCTGTTGATATAACATCACCACACTACGACGCTAGCTCGCTTGTCCGGGTTCTTCGACTTCGCAGAGAGATCGGCGTGTCTGTCAGTTGTCAGACAGACATTTGCCTTGCGCGGTCTTCTTCTCTTTCATCTTCTCTTCCTTCTCTCTCCCCTTCTTTATCCTTTTTCATCTGCGTCTGTGTTCCGTCTCGTCCAATTAACGCAGACGTGCTTAAAGTTGACGTCTCGTGGCTCGGCTCATCTCAACTCCAGCAAAGGTATGTCAACCAAGCTGACTCGCGCGTAACACACTCCTCTTACTTATCCCCGCTTGCTTCTCTCACCAATCCATCCTTTGTTCTGTACCAATACTTCTGCTCACCCATCAAACGTTCTCCCGCTCCTCGACGCGCTTCAGCAGATACTCGCCTGCAGATACGCGAGTGCATCTCCAGTTGGGTCGCTCAGGGACACGTGCTTGCTGCGCGCCCGTCTTTTCGCCGTTTATCTGTCCTCGGTGCAGGGTCATTCAGACAGTGCACCTGATACCAACATCAAGGTGTTGACAAAGTTCAGTTGTGAAGAAACGTTCTAAGGGACCTTCCACAAGGACGCTCGACTAGTCGCAGATTAAGAAAAAAAACCTATAATTCTGCACCTTGCGCCCCGCGGTGCGCCAAACCTAAAAACATGACGTCCATGCCCGCACAAGTCGTCTACGCGCACCCTCCGCCCCTCGGTTCTGGTCCTAGCTTTGGCGGACACCCTCCAACGCACCCGCAATCTCATCAACCCCCTCATCTCTCTCAGCACGCGTCTTCATCCTCTTTGCACCATTCGCAGGCTCAACACCACCCTCCACCCCAACAGCATCACCCGAGTTCTTTGCCTCCACCCCCTCCAGCACACCAACAGCATTATCACCAGGGGTACCCACCGCATTACGCACCCCCGCATGCGTCTTCGTCTTCCCCGCCTGGTCATCAACACCAATATCAACAGGAACGATCACAGGAGCGACTCCCTTCTATCAGGGATTTAGACTTCCAATTTCATCAACAACAGCAGGCTCAAGCTCAGTTACAGCAGCAGCAGCAACAGGGACAACAAACGCAGCAACAGCAGCCGCAGAACGCGGGTCCACCGCCTTCGGCAAGCGGATCAAATAATGCTGGTGCTAGTGCTGGGACGAGTGGTGGATCGAGTACTGTATCACCTGCTGCTCTCGTTATCACACCAGCGAGAGGCGGACGGAGGAACTGGGGACCTCCACCGCCAGCACCAGGCCCCGCAGGGCCGTCTTCTCATCCTTCACAAGGCCAACCGTACGCTCATCATCCGCCGCAAGGTCAAACTCCTCCCTCAGTACAATTTCCGCCTCCATCCGGACCATCGTCCGCTTCGTCTTCTTTTACGAGCTCAAGTCAAGTACCTGGACAAGGTCAACAATACCATGGTTCATCGCATCCTAGTCGACGACCCCGTGCTGACGGCATGAACACTGGCAACGTTGGAAGAGGAAGCATGGGTGGTATTAACACAACGTCCGCTCCGAGCGGAGGCCTTGGCATGTCGAGCGTGTCGCCCGTAGGTCGACAGCCTTTGGGTCCGGTACGTTTCTTTGCTCACTCACAAAATTCATTGTCGACTCATTAATTTTTTTACATTAAAAACCACTTTTCGGACTCGAACACACCTTGTACTTCACTGTCTTACTTTTTCTGCAATTTACCCTCATTCTGATTTATTTTTGCATATTTGAAATTCGACTGATTACATTTTACTTGTTCCCGTGTTCTTTTCTTCCTTTTCGTTCCTCGCGTCAAACGCGTTTCCGGCGACTTCTTGATTCATTACTTCTCTTTTCAAATTCCACCCATAAATTTTGATTCCCGTGTCTTATTGACGCTCTGTGATATTCTTGGATTTTCTTCCCTGTCCTGAATCAGCCGCCGCCGTATGCCCATGGTGCGGGATATGCTCCACAAGGTGTTATGGGCGTCGGTGCTCAAGGACCTTCAGCAGGTTCTGGATCGGGAATAGGAGGAGGGATCGGAGGCGGAGGGAGTAGCGTTGGAAGCGCCACTAGTGGGAGTGCAAGTGGGAGCGGAGGTGCGGCTACGGGTGCAGGTGGTCCTCATTCACCATACGGGACAGCGTTTCCATCTCCCCATACGCCTCACCATCACTTGCACACGCCGCTCAGTCAGACGCATGGACACGGGGGCCATGGTAGTGCGGGTAGTGGTGGAGGGCCCGGAGGAGCACAAGCATATGAGTATGATTACGATTATAATGCTTATGCTCCTGGAGCGCCACCTCCGCCGCCTGGAACTGGACCTGGGCCTGTACCGAGTGGGTCGGCGCCGGGTGGATCGGGTCCGGGAGGACCGGCTGGCGAAGGACATACCTATGGCGGAGGACGAGGAGGAATTCAGCAAGGCATGTACGGAGTGCCTTCTTCTCATCCTCCACCTCCTCCAGCGCAGGAAGCGTGGGGCGGGCATCAACAACAGGGACCGCCTATTGGATACCCGCATCATCAAGGCGGTGGACACGTGCAGCAACATCAGGCGTATGGACGCGGCGCACCTGGGTCAGGGTTCCCTGGTGCGCCTGGCGGCAGTTACGGTGCCCCATCCCCGGCTTCGCAAATACAGGGCCAAGGACAAATGATGTCTCCCGTAGCTGGAGAGCCCTCTGGAATGGGAGTTGCAAACATGGGTGGTGCGAGAGCGCATTACCTACCTAAGGTACGCATTTACTTTATCTTTATTAACAAGATTTGGAGAATTAACGGAACTTGATGAATCTAACCAGATTCAGGAGCTGTGTTATATGTTACATGAGTTTGCCAGGCGATATGGTGAGTGTTCTCCTATTCCGTGCTCTTGTTCAGTTATTAACGGATTATGTACTACAGCGAACGCGCCGAACCAACCTTCGCAAGCTGAGCTTGAAGACATGGCTCGCAACGCTGCGGAGGTCATCAGGCTATTGTCTGAGTTCCGACGACATGCGCTTGTGGAGGGTTCTGGGACTGTTGGGACTGCTGGGACTGCTGGGACTGCTGGTGTCCCTGCTGGAGCGTCAGGATTGCCATCACCAGCGCCCGACGAACATGAGCGTGCGATGGCGATGCGTGCTCCGAAGAGGCCTTGGGAAGACGTCCAAGGGGAGAGCGATGAGGATGCTTTCGTTCCGCCCTCCGTCTCTGCACCAGCTGGACGTGTCGTCGCTGGGAAGAGAGCCGGGAAGAACGAAGGAACTGGAGGAGAGTCGATCTCTGCTTCAGCGGCTGTTGGAGGCAAGGATATGGATAAAGCAAGGAGTGCTGCAGAGAAGGACATGGCGCTTATTCGTAGTAAGCGTGCGACGAATGCAGGGATGCTTGGCGCTGGTGCTCCGAAAGGCAAATATCGCAAGCGAAGCGTATGTTGCTTTCATCTTGAATGACTTATTGGTTGTTTATGATAGGCTGACGGTATTTCTCTCAAAGCAGCGAGCGACACCACCTGGAAAATGTCATTCGTGCAATATTCGAGAGACACCGGAGTGGAGGCGAGGTCCTGATGGTGCGAGGACGTTGTGTAATGCTTGTGGACTCCGTACGTCTTGCCTTCTATTCTTATTCCTCGTGTTCCGCTTTCTTACATTGAACTCTTTGTACTTTGTGACTTCTTTTAGATTACGCCAAGCTTATAAGAAAGCGCGACAAAGCGGCCGCGTCATCTGCGGATGGCTCACAACAGCGCGTGGAGATCGATATGGAGACGCTGCGTGCGTCGACACGGGCTGCAAACGAGAGAGAACAGATCAAAGCGGAGCGTGATCGTGAAAGAGAGCGTGAACGAGCGTTGGCGGGTAAAAGTACTCCGAACTCGGGTTCTGCTTCGAGTTCGGGGATGGAGGCGGAAGGAGGAGTACAGACGACTGCGTTAGGTCTGGAAGGTACTGGGATGAACGGAAATAGTGATGCGGGCGTAGCGGTGAACGGGTTGGTTGCTCCTACTCCATCTATGGCGGACCCGACAGTTTCTCCGGCAGACGCATCCAGATGGCGTCCGTATACGGATGGACAGTCATCCTTTATACGTGGGGCCCCTGTATCAACGACAGTGGTACGGACTGGGTCATCGTAATCTCGCGATTGTGCGTGAAACAAATGGATTATACTATATCTCTCCCTAAGTTTCCGCTCTCGATTTATACCTGCTTACCATGCATCTTTATTCATCTTCACATTTCTTTCATTTTTTTTCTTGCGAGGTTCGCGGTGTACTTCGTATGTCCATACTAATTCCCTCTTTTTTTCTATTTTATGTTATACTCCTCGCGTTTTTCTCTGTTCGCGATTCTCGTTTAGTTTCTACTTTTCTCGGTATTCTGGTCCAGTTTACGTGCGTGGGTTTTTCAGTTATGTCTTTCCTGGATTATTCACTTCTATACGGTTCGTTCATCATTGTTCAATATTCACTCTACCCATTTTCGCTCTTTCTCACCTTCCTCTTCCTCAACATTCATTGTATATCTGCGATTCACGGTCCATGGTTCATTGGTTTAGTTTGGTATGCTATCTTATACTCTTTGATTCTTTTTCAGTCGTAACTTAGTACATTTATTTCGTTTTCGTTGTACGGTACTGGTTGGTGTATGTGTATTGTATGTGCGTTTTCTCGTTCTAATGGTAATTTTATTGTGTTCGGATTCGAACTGGTTCTTTGTATACATCGGAAGGCCCACCGAGGACGAATAAATAGTGACTAGTGCTCGTCCCTCGGAAAAGTAAATGCTGTCATAAAACATAGAAGCATAGGATGCCCGATCATGTGTAAAAATAATAAATAACCCACGCACGCCGATAGGCTTTCCAGGTGTCCAATAGCAAGAAGTGGAATTCAATTCCGACTGACATAATCTCCCAAAATGAAGGATCAGAGAGGTCGGGAGGAGCCGGGTGGCGCGCAATACAAAAGTCGCGCCGAGCTGGCAGAGCACTTTTTTTTTCTGTTCTGTAACAACTTCTCGCTACCTCCACCTCAAAATAATTGCACCTCGTCAGCCCCTATTTTGACTTGACGTTGCTCGGCTTTGAGCTTCTTGTTATTGGTATATACGAACTTGATTAATCGTAGATTTTAGACATGTCCGAAGGTGAGTTATAGATTTAGTTTAGCTTAGTTTTGTGGAGGAAGAGAAGTGCTGATGATGATGTTTGCGGGGCAAATGTAGGCGACGCAAAGAAGGGTGCCGGTCTGTTCAAGACGCGTTGTGCACAATGCCACACTGTTGAGAAGGGTGGTCCGCACAAGGTCGGACCGAACCTCTTTGGGTATGTTCATGTTTCTCTTATCTTCGAACTGCCTTCCACATTTGAGGTTTTGTGAACATACTGACCTCATTTGTTCACTTTGCTATACAGTCTCTTTGGCCGTAAAACAGGACAGGCAGAGGGCTACTCCTACACCGCTGCGAACGTCAACAAAGGCATCACCTGGGATGATACCACCCTCTTCGAGTACCTCGAGAACCCGAAGAAGTACATCCCTGGTACGAAGATGGCGTTCGCTGGGTTGAAGAAGGAGAAGGACAGGAGGGACTTGATCGCGTATTTGAAGGAGTCGGTACGTAAACTTTTTCTCGTTAGGGTTAATTGGGAGGTCGGTTACTGACATGGCACTATTTTTTAGACCAAAGATTAAGCACGTTGGTGTACTTGATCTGTCTCCTCTATATCACTTCGTGTACCCTCTCTTTCCATACCGCATATCACCTTAGAGGCGTACTTGTTTTACGCTCATACCTCATCGCCGCCACATCTGTTCGTTTGTTTCTACCTTACTGGACTACACGTAGAGAATTTTATTTGTCCGATTGCACACTCAAAACGTATAGTATCATACTCCGTCATCATTATATCACCCCTACTCTGCAACTTTTTTTATATCTCACTCATGACCGCATTGACTATTTTTCGAAAATTGTGATCGAATGAGGCGATGTAAGTGTTATTCTCAATGACGATCAGATGACGTAGCGTGTTGTTCAGATGCACGAGCACGCACATTCTGCTATAATTCGAGCAATTCGAGCGTGGGTCAGCATACTTCTTAAACGTTTAAAAAATGATTATTAGAGTAAGATAGCTACTGCTAATATTTTCTACTGTGTTCGAGTATTTTTCACTTGATCCTTTAGCCATTGCCGGACTCGTCCTTCCACGTCTTTCTGATTTACAGAGCCTGATATCACCATTTTGCCGAAAGCACTATATCTTGGGTCTACTCCTACTGCGTGCACTGAAGAGAATTTTACGTTAATGAAGCGACATTTCAGTGTTTGGAAACTAGTCGGTACTTATGTGGAGAGCATTAATATTTCGACAGACTTACCGAAGGCAGCGTGTCTAGCTTGCCGAATTGGACCGCTGAGATCTGACCTGTCTCCGGTGACTGCATATATTGAAACTGTCACTCCTTCACCGGTTTTGCTGTTATCTGATACAGCATCAGGATGCTAGAAAGGAACTCGGAGTCTGTCATGGATCTGTGTACTCACAAGCGTTAATAGCATTGTTCATTTTTGTGCTGTTCTTATACTCTCGCTTTGTTAGCCTACTGAAGAATGCTCCGTAGCTGCTGCTGCTAGCAGTGGTGGTGGTGGGAGCATATGTATACTCATTGTCGAATACAGGATCACCTTGGTCGGATAATTCACCTGAGGAGTCTAGATCATGTCACAGTTAGTTAAGAGCATTACTGTATGTAGTGTAGAGTGAATGGTACGTGGTACGCACAACCACTAGACATACGTCTTGCTTGCTCGTACTAAGTTTAATGTGTGAAAGTCTGCAGTCTTATAAGACGTGTCTCGATCCAGAATACTAGTTTATTATTGGTTACAGACTTTGCACCTTACAAGAAGCAAGAAATACATTGCACATTAGAGATAATGTGTACTGTACATTGTATTACATTCTATACCTGGCAGGAGGGGTATTGTAATAGTATTAAGGTTAAGGATGCACTAATGTAGTGCATTGTAATTGATTTCGGGCACAGAATAAATCTGGAAGGCATATAGTACAATGCTGCTACTCTAGTATTTTCACCTTATCTAGAGGCCAGATAGCCCATTATTCCTGCAAAGCAGACTTGAGTGTATGTGTTTGCTGAGCAATGCATTCATTGACACACTTGCACCATGTTACCTCCCAGTCAATAGACACTACAAATTGTAGTACTGAAAATTGAAGTGTACAATAATAATGTTACCTGCTTAAAGATTTAGTATATTATTAACAGCTAGTCTTACTAAGGCATGTATTCTACTAATACTGTTAGTCTTGAGACATGTACAAATACAGTATTGTAACTACATCTACTAGAAAGGATAAATAAAATAAAATTTAAAGTAATAATCTGTACTGAGACTAGAAAAAGGTAAACTTTAACATATAGCTTTTGTACTCACAATACTTCTTTTTTTCAGAGAAAATTCTGTACTAGCTCAATTTGTTTTCAACAGACTAGTATGGTTTAACAAAACAGATAAAGGTAGAGTACATTAATATATACTCTAATCTATATAAATTTTTTAAAACTATTTATAATTATTATTTACTAGAAATTAATATACAGTATATGACAAAAGTATTACACAGGTGAAAAAAAAATATATAACTTCCCCAAAACACAATAATATTACACTCTGTAAATTGGTACTTGTAGTCTAGCATTTTATGAATACAACACTCTATAGAGTATTAAATTCCTTTCAAAAATGAGTGAAA